AGTATCAGCTAAATTATATTCTCTCATTTTCTATGACTCAAGCAAAGAAGGTACATGATGGACCTTTGGACTGAAGGGCCAGCCTCATTACTGTTCCAGACATAAATCCTACCGTAACCAATTCCTGTTTATGCTTCCCTACAGCCTCCAGGCCCTAGCTTCAAACCACCCAGCTAAGACACCCCCACTTCCCAGGCTAACTCTTGGCTTGGATTACTTTGTTCCATCTGGTCTTCTGCCATTATGATTAGCATATTCAACACCTCTGCACCAACCAAGTAACAACAGGGACAGTGCTTTGAGTCCAGCAATTCAAGGCAATGCTTTCCACCTGAAACTGCAAATCTCAGTGGTTCCTTAGGAAGGTGGGAGGGAGTTAAGAACTCCATATACTGAATTCTGTACCAAAAAGAATTTCTTCTCCAGTTGAGGTTTCTTGATGACAGTTAAATAAAGAATTCTCTCCAGCTAACTCCCTCTTGATCTTGACACATTTTCACAACCTTCCATGCATCTTAAAGCCACACTTCCTTTAGGTATGTATGTATGTATTATGTATATATTTATAGTCAGTGTCTCACTATGTAGTTCAAGCTGGCCTTGAACTCACTATGCAGTTCACACTGGCCTGGAGATTACTATGATCCTCCTGACTCAGATTCCCTAGTGCTCCACCACACCCAGCTAACCCTTCCTCTTAAACCTATTTTTGCTATCTCACTAGCACCCTCACCTCTGCATATTTTTCTGGTACTATAACCCACTCCCTCCTTGTCTTTCATTTTCAAGTAAAATGCCTGATACGTACAGTAGTAAATGCTCAGTAAATGTCTGATGATTGGCTAGAGGTCCTGTTCTATATCTCCAGCTATTTCTTGGGAGACTTTTACTGTGCCATCCTTATGTTCCCCGAAAGTTCAAAAGTATAGAACACAAATGACGACCTTCCTAGCAGATCAGGCTTTTCCTCATTACATTCCAATTTTCTCCAAACATGCTATGATTCTCTCAGTTTGCCATGGGCAACACCACAAAGGCTTTCACTCGTCCTTCTGTAAGTAGCTAATTATTAAATCTGGCAGTTTTGTTTTCTTTATAAAACTAGGCCTATGGGAGGCAATCTCTCAAAGTAAGATCCACTGAATCTGTATAGCTATGATCATCCCACCAAATAGCCTCTGTAGATTGAACTGCCTTAAATCTCTTAAGTCTCTGGTTCACTCATTCATCCAATACTGAGTTTTCACTTCTTATACACAACCGCGTTCACTGAATATCCTTTACTCAGAAATGGTTAAAGGCCAGTTCAAGTGCCAAAATCATTTCCTAGCGTTCAAAGACAACCTAATCTAGACAAGATCAAGTTTTCCGATCTTAACTCCTATTATTTCTCTAGAGGAATTCTTCATCATGACCCAAGTGATTATATCCCACTCTCCGAGTACATATATGCTTGCACATGAATGGGGACCCTTTCCTACATATCTATATATTCCTTGGCTCAGGGAACTTCCTCGCTTGGAAACAGCCTCCCAAATACAGATCCTAACAATACTTTGGGGTCAGCCTATCCTCTTCAAGTCTTCAATTCTTCCAGTCAGAAACTTCTATTATACTTACAGCAAGTTTATGAAATTCGCATTATTTGATATTTCAATGGTAGCCTTAACAGCCCAGGAAGATTTCAGGGCAGGTCATGAAGTAGACTTCTGTATCTTTCTCAGAACCCATTTCTAGGTTTAACAAGGCCAGGCAATATTTTCTACAACTTAGTTAAAAGCGTTCAATAAAGTTTTCATTACTCCAAAAATGTTATTTCCACTCATATGTCAAATAACAGCCATTGTTAAATTGCACCACTTTGATCATATTTTAAGATACGCAAAAGCGAATTTTAAAATTTCTTAGCAAGAACTTTAAAATTCTTTAATGAGAGACATAGCATAAAGCATAACATATAACATTTAGTACTCTGACAATTGCCTTTATTTTCCCACCTAAACTTCATGAAAAATTTCAAAATCAATTTATAATTCTTGCCTTCATAAATAATAAGACAAGTTTTAAGGGGAAATATCTTAAACTTTTACATACGTTTTATGACTGAAAACCAAAAAGAAAAAAATAAGTTTTAAATCATTAAAGAGTAAATATTTGGATGGAAAGAAGCAGGTTTTTTTTTTTTTAAGTCATATTTTAAAGATTGTTCAAGAGTTCAGCTCCTGGGATGGAAATTTCCTTTAGTTATACACTGAAGAAGTAAGCACAAATTAAGTAAGAAAAAATCATACTCTCAGCATTTAGTGTAATAAGGCAAAAATGCTCATTACCACAATATTAAGAAATATCAACAATATGAGTCTGAGTAACGAATTCATAAGAAAGAGTTTGAATTGGACCAAATCCTGGGGTTTTCTTTCTTCACTCTAAGTTTCTTTTCTATTTTAAACTAGTGGCAACAGAAATTTCTTTGTTTGAAAGTCAGGAATGCTAAAGTCTTAAGTGATAGAACAGGTAGCTCAGCTTCTACTCCATGCCTGTTCTCAGAGGGAGCAAAACATTGTGGATAAAGTAATTTTGTTTTTATTGCTGGAAAAATCATTTTTCCGTGAATCTTCATAATTCATAAAATAAACTGTTAAAAAATCATAGGCCAGTCGACCGCTTCCCTCAATTTGTGGATATACAATACTGTGCATTAATTTCAAGAGCACATGCCTTACTCAAGTTTTCTAACTGCTTTGAAAAACTAAAAGTTGCTCCTAATTCTAACACAACTCCAGGAGAACTTTACTTACTCATGATATATTTCTACAGCTCATGTGCAATATTTTTGCAAAATATAAAAGCAATCTAGGCTCAAGGGCCACACTGCATGCCATCGAATTTATTTTTAGGGTACTGTACATTTTCAACTGTGGAAAAAACTTTGTGTTGCACCAACTGCTTAAGAACTATATGTAGAAAGAAAATGGAAATTTTGTCATTCGCGCCATCTTAATGAAATTACTTTAAGATGGTGTGAATGACAAAAAGTAATCTTTCTTTGCTAGTATTTGACATGCTTGCTCTACACAAATTAGGTTTGACAAAGTAATCAACACTTTTAGAGGGCATAAAGCGAAAGGCAAATTTTAAAATTTAAAATCTATGATTCACAGTGTAAGCCAACTTCATTAAGTTTTACATATTCAAGAAATAGCCAACTCCAATAATTAAAGCAGGGGACAGCAATAGGAAATATTGAACAGCAAACAGTTCTTATACCATATAAATCAAATCAAGGTCAAAGCAAATTAAATAAAGACCAGAAACCATATAAATCAAATCAAGTCAAGACAAATGAAATAAAGACCAGAAACTATTTTCTCCTCAGCACACACAGTTCCGCAGAATCACAAACTTGACGACCCCAAGGGAGGCGCGACAGAAGCGCACAAGCACGCAGGCGCGAGCGCACGCACACAATGGAGAGAGGAGCTTGGGGACCCTCAGCTGACTGAAAGGAGAGCGCGGTGGGAAAATTTCACTTTGTTTCAGATTAGACTGAGGGAAACTGCAGTTAGTGTTGCAAACTACCAATTCTCTGGATTCAAAGGGAGAACTGAATGAATGGGGCTAGGGATTGGAGGGGGCAGGGGAGAAGCGGAGAGAGCGCCTGAGAAAAAGAACGTTTGAGGCACTTTACAAAGCTTAAATGTATTAACCTTAAAAAAAAAAAAACAAACTCAACTATTTATTATTTCATATTTCTTTCCCCAGTCTCTAATTTTTATTAAATGTACACGGACTTCCTGGGGGCTTAACCTAGACTTGCCCAGCTTCAAAGGCCTGGTCCTCAGGACAAGTCAGGAATGGCCTGGGGAGGGGGTTAAAATATGACTTTTGTGATCACACCTAAAATGAGACCAATGGCAAAAGGAAAAGATGAACTCCATGAGTCCATAAGTAAATTGAGAGCCCACTCCACAGTGCTTTGATCTTTTTCTACTAGAAACAGGAGCTGTGTACTATACTCTCGACATTTTTTCTTAACTTGAAAAAAGTTTGCTTTCACATTTTTAGACCAGGAGGGATGGGGGCATTGGTGTTTTGAGCCTCTGATCCGTTCAGGAATGGCTTGTTAAGGTGTCTCGCAAAGGAAAAACTAAAATGTTCATGCTGTAAACAGTTCAATTTGGACAACATTCAGCAGATAGCCTGAAACGCAGTCAATTAACAAAAGTAGCGACGAAAAAAAAGTCTCTCCACGCGGCTTTTCTTTAATAATACGAAAATATAGTTGGGGAGGATGGTGCTGTTTAAAACTTGATTACGAAGTTAGGTCCCATTTGGTAATCCCTGTACTGGACAAAAAGCTTCCCTTCACCACGTGCATTGATCTTAAGGGAAAGGCAGGCAGAGGGGGCTGGGAAATCATCAGGACCCTGCATTTCTTCTGTCACCACCGGCTGGGCCAGGTGGGGGAGCGAGCTACAACTTCGCCCTTTAGAAGCAGCTCTAAAAGGGAAAAAGAAGTCACCTCGCTCTGCGCATGGAGGAAGAGTCAATTCAAGGCCACCTCCACCCCTCGTCTTGTTCCGCCCGAACTTGTGTGTATGTTGCTGGGGGCATGACTGGCGTTTACTCCACGACTTCCAAGACATCTCCATCTCTTCCAAGTTAAGGCCCCCATCCCCGGTCCCCAACTTGGCCGTGCTCGGCAGGCGCAGGTGTCTATTTTTATTACCACCCCCCACGCCACCGCCCCGAGCGCGCGCAAGCCCCATCTAGTCGCGCGCCCCAGTTCCTCCCTGCCTACCAGCGCGGAGCACCAACTACAGTAGTCTCGCAGACTCCAGGAAACTCCGAGCCCTACTCGTAGGTCACCTGGCCAGAGTGGCCGGCTCAGCCTTCAGAGGAGCCCTGGGACCGCCCCTCGTCGCTGGTACCCACAGCGGGGCGCGCGAGGGGTTCCGGAGTAGTCACGTGGGCGGCCGGGGAGGCCTGGGTTCGCTCACCTGCATCCCGGGCACTTGGACCGCCACCGATGAGTGGGCCATGAAGGCGACCGCTGCTCCCTCCGCACTGCTTCGGTGGCTGGCGGTGGCGCCTTGGCTCAGTTGGCTCCTCCTACAGGGGTAGCCAGGCGGCCCTCCCAGGCTTTTCGATCGGGGCCTGGAAGGACACACAGAAGTGGGGTTACTGGGCTGGTGGTGCCTAGCCCCAGGCTGAGAGGTGGGCGGTCCGCCCCGCCGCTCTCCCCGACTCAGTCTACCTTCCTGGCGCGCGCCCGCCGCTGTGTCCGCCGCCTCCGCAGTTGCTCCTCTTGCTGAACGCGGGGCGCTGTGTGTGGCAGCGGCTGGGACCTGGGCTCGAGTGATGCCTCTCCTCTGCGCCTCGCCGCTTTAGGAAGAGGAGGTGGAGGCGCCCCAGCAACCCGCCCGCTAGCCCGTCCTGGGAGGCGGTTGGGGGCGGTTCCGCCGCTGGCCCTGCCCCCGCCCGGCAGCCGGGAGGCGTCAGGGGAGCTGAGGCAGCGGGGTTTGGCTAAGGCTGGAGCCGAAGAAGGGGGAGACTCTCTGGGCAAGCGGAGAGTAACACTCCGCGACTGGGAGACCAGGAGCGCGGCTCTGCCGGCAAAGAGAGTGGAAGAGTTTGAAAGACACTAGGGGTGTGAGGGCTTCTCAAACCCGGCCACGTTGCAGGCAGGAGTGCTAGGCTGGGCGCATGCAGCCTCGGAGAGCTCGTCATTTGAAACTTGGGAAGTGTTGGAAGTTTTACTTGGTTCCCTCACCTGACCCTGGATATGGCCACAGAGAGCTACTAAGTTGGTAGACAACCCCTGCCCCTGCTCCTTCTTGTCTCCTCAGCTTAGGGGACACCCCTCGGCCAACCCACAGCCTCTGCCCCTGCCTCTCCGCCCCCAAACACGATTCAGGAGACTTTAAAGGAGGCCACCCCACCTCTTGGGCGATCAGCTGGGGGGCTGCCAGGCTGACGCTTCTCTTCACAAGTTCTGCACGTATGAAGGAGAGGAGAATCCGAAAACTGGCGATGTATTGGCAGGAAAATTAATGAGCGTAATAGCGGCAAGAAAAATGAGATTAGGTGATTAGCGGTATGTATTACTGAAGTCAGCATACGTCACAGTCGTTTCCACAACTCCCCGCCCCATTTCAAGTTCCATTCCTGCAGCTCTTTTGAGTGTACCCTACTAATAACTATAGTAACAACAGTAGTAGTACCATGCACAGAACCTTCATCATAAAGGCACCTCTTAGAACACAAGGGGTTAATCACATTTTTAAAAAGTAAATTCCAGAGCCGGGCATGGTGACGCAAGCCTGTAATCCCAGCACTCAGGAGGCTGAGGCAGGAGGATGATTTCGAGTTGGAGACCAGCCTGGGCTACAAAGTGAGCTCAAGGCCAGCCTGAACTGCATAGCGAGACCCTCTCTCAAAAAAAAAAAAAGAAAGAAAGAAAGAAAGAAAGAAAGAAAGAAAGAAAGAAAGAAAGAAAGAAAGAAAGAAAAGTAGAAAAGTAAATTCCAAGTACCAGCATAAAGATAAAATTCCTTACCTGGCAATTTGTCAGGGTACTGTGTACTCAACACATGGGGGAAGAGGGGCCTAGTAATTAATAAATGCTCTTCCTTTCGCACCTGTGAGAGAATATTACTATTGTAGATATCATTGTCACTAATGTATAGCATTTTTGTGACGAGATCATGAAGCGTTTTATGTTTCTTTATTGAATTTTGACAAGGCCATTCTGGGGTCATACTGATTTCCCCCAATTTACAGCAGAAGAAAAAGGCTCAGCCAAGTAAATAATTTGGCCTACATATAAACAATTAAAAGGTAGTAAACTAGGTTCACTTACTCTGGGAAGCTGAGGCAGAAGGAGCCTTGCCTAGGAAACTGAACAAGACCTTGTTTCAAAATACAAAATAGAAAAGATGGGACATAGCACAGTACAAAGGCCCTGAGTTCAAATCCCAGAACTGCAAAAAAAAAAAAAAAAAAAAAAAAAAAAGGTGGTACAGCTAGGAATTCAAACCTAGGTCCCGCTGATTGATGATTACTTCCCTACCATATGGCTTCTGTTTGTTTTTAAAGATGATAAAAGACATAATTGCATTTTCCTTACTCCTGTTCCCTAAGTCCAGGCTTTCATGATTGCTAGCTTTATGGTATGCCCCAATCTAGTGTCTGTGTCCCACCAGCCCAGCTCGCACTTAATATCAGAAACCTGCATTGCCACCTACATTGTAATGCCCGTAGAAATGGCCTGGGTTTCTTTTCAAAGTACAGATCTTGATCTCACAAGCTTGGAGTGAGTCCAAGTTTCGGCATTGCTAACAACTTCCCAGAGCTGAGAGGATGGATCTTTAGATCACATGTAGTTAGCAAGGATCTGAATCAAGCAACATCATTTAAGACCCACCTCGAGTAGTGGGTCCACTGAGCATCCCATTTGCTCCAGGCCCTCCTGCAAACTTTCCTATCGCGTGCCAGGGAAGGCAGCACTCACACTATAGTCTTCGCGTTTCATCTATCTCGAGAGTTTTGCCTGCCTATCAAGATAATTAGGCCCTGGAAGCCAGAGATCCAGCTTCTTTTGCATGAGAATTACTTGGGTAGAACGGCAGCTTTCTGAGGGCAAGTGTTTTGCTTGTTTCATTCATTTCTAGAGCCTCGAACAGTTTGTGGCATATACTAGGCCCTCAATGAATATTAGTTGAATGAATGAATCCAATTCCTTTGAATTCTTCATTGAGGTTACTAGGTGTGTAATAGGCTCACTGCATGTTTTATTGATGGCAGGCTAAACTCCTAGGCATTGCCCTTGCTGAAACTTTACATTGGTCACTTTATGTGTTACACCATTCATTTTTCTCTTGTAAATTCTTTCGAGTTATCTTGATTTCACAGCTACCTGAGAGTGCGTTGTATTATTTTAATAAATAAGTAAATGAAACGTGTCAGAGAAGTGACTTTCCCTGACTTCATTCTGGGCCACAGTTACATAATAATTGGGAAGAGTGAATGCAAAATTTTCAGACATGGACACTGGGACACTTCCTAAAGACGTTGCTTAGTGAACATTTTTACCTTTGTTCACTTCTACTGATATTGAGTAAACCATTGGTTGTTATTATTGACAGGAATCATTTGAGTTTTTGCATGGGATTACTTGTAGTCTGATGTATGCCTTTTCCATTCTGTGTGCACAGATGCATATGAATGCACATGTACATATGCATAAAAGCCTATGAAGGTGTCAGTATTTGAAATTAATTCAAATTTTATGAGCACCAAGAATTTTTGTCTCCCTTCGGCTGCATTACCTCTCAATTTTTTGTGTGTGACATGGTCTTACTATATAGTTCAGGCTGGCCTGGCCTCACTATGTAGCCCAGGCTGGCCTCAAACTCATGACAATCCTCCTGCCTCAGCCTCCCCCATGCTGGGATTACAGGCGTGTGCCACCACACCCTGCTCAAATTCTTAGTTTAAAATGACAAGAAATTATGCTTTTGTTACTTACCCATCCCTTATACACATATGTACGCAGTCTAAAAGCACAGGTTGAATATCCTTATCAGAAATACTTGAGAACAGAAGTGACGTGGGACTTTTTGAATTTGGTGCTTTTTTGCATGGATGCTATCAGTTGAGTATCCCTAATATGAAAATCTGAAACCTGAAATACTCGAAACTTCAAAAATTCTGGAGCATCCCGCTGGGCAAAGGTGTTTCGCATTTCAGAGTTTTTTGCATCTCAGATTTTTGAATTGGGGAGCTCAACCAACTAATTACTATGTATTCCCACAGCTTGATAGGAAAAGTTCCTTGAGGAGAAACTCTGTGTCTTAAGCTTTGGAGTAGCACAGGGTGTAATAGAGAGTCTCAGAATTTGGTACTTGCTTCATTCATGTGACCTCAGTGGCTATGAATACTTAATAGTTACACAAATAAAGATTATATATAAATTAAGTAAAGTCAGTGAATTCCAAGTGAGTATCCCTGAGCTCCCTCAAATTTAAATTTAGCTTTTGTGGTTTCAATTTCCTAGAACTTGTCATCCCTTCAATATTAAATATTTAACTTTGCCCGTGTTTATAAACATTCACTGAATGGACTGGTTCATAGCTAAAGTGCAGGTAGATGAAAATGACCAAACTGCAATGTAGGCAATAGTGAAGGAATGTATTAAAGCCAGGATTCTCACCCAGGCACAGTTTTGCCTCCTGGAAAACATTTTGGATGTTAAAAGTGAGGAGGGGGATACTACTGGCACCTAGTGAGTGGAGGACAGGAGGGCTCACCATCCTATACTGCACAAGACAATCTCTAAAATAAACGATTATCCAGCCCAGTAGGGCAATGTTGCCAAAATTTGAGAAACCATGCTCTCCACTCCTACGCTCTTTGTATTAAAGGCTGCTAACCAAGAGGCAGACTTGGGATTCACTGTTCATTGAAGATTTTAATTCAATATGTTTGCCCCTCCTGCCAAAAGAGCCACAGTATAGTGTGCCATATTAATTTGGTGCTGGAAACAGGAGTACTGTGATCTTACCTTTGTACTAAGCCATAGATCAATTACCCAAAGAAATGGATACATGGACAAGCAACTCATGTATGCTTTTGTTATCCTCCCAATACACGATGGACACTTGAATATTTTACTTCTTTGGAATAAGACTGAACAGAATATAGCTTTAACAAAAAAAATTGATTTGTTTAAAAGCTTGTCACTGACCATGTACTAATATAGTAAGTGTTACCTAAAAGACTTGCAGTATATTAATTCATCAAGATAAATTTGACTGCTCTTCCACTTAATAAAATTTAAAGGTAGAATTTCATGTTGTGGTGTTTCACATTTTGAGCCTAATGGCTATTTTGAAATATATAAAAATAGGTTAAATAGCGTGGCAAACTCATAGGATTATTTGAATTTCTTTCAATTATCAGAATATCTAAAACCAAGGGAAATTATCTGAATAATTCTAGAAGCTTACCATTCAATAATAGGGATATTGTGATTCAGGCCCTAAGATATTTGGAAGTACAGCATTCAAAGATCATTTTCTTTTAAATAAAAACATATGTGATACCTCAAATCTCCTTTTACTCTCTGTGGGTATCAAATTGGAAACCATGATATAATAGTTCTTGCAGATGTTGTATCCTCGCGATTGTTCTGGCAAAGCATCCCAAGGAAAAACCAACTGAAACAGTTCTTGTCAGGGAACATTAAACCCGTGTAATTGCTGAATTCTCCGGAATCACCTTGTAACTTTTGGGGCTTGCACAATGCTCTACCGTAGTATTATTTTTAATGAAAAGTATAGTGTCTAGGACTTTGCACAGCTGAATTTTCTCACTAGCTTTACTTCCTGAGCTGCTGAGGGGGAATCAAGCAACAGAGGAGGTGGGTGGAAGC